CCCCCCCCCCCCCCCCCCGAACCCCTTCCCAACCCTATTTTTTTTGGACTCACTGTCAAAGCCACAGCAAAGCCAGAAAACTGCTCTGCCTCGGCTACCTCCCTACCAAGCTCTGTTAAAAAAATACAACCCTCTAGCCCCTGACCCCAAACACCACCTCTAAGATCCATTTGATTGCCACCTGCTGGTCGCTGTGGTGATGGGACACTGCAGAGCAGCCATGGGGATGTGTTGGGGTGATGCAGGTTTAATGGGGAAGCCAGGGAAATTATGTTCTTTCCCTCCAGCCAGACAACTTGAGCTACAAACTGCAATGCTGGAGCCCTAACACAGATATGTTTGCTTCCCTTCTAATGTTATGTGCCAAGGCTATGGTGGAAAAAAATCCCACAACTAACTCCTAAAAATACAACTCCTTCCTTCTGCATCCTCATGAGCAACCCTGCTGTGTTAGAATAGGGAGAGGGAGACCCTAAAACTAATAGTGCTTTAGAAACAGAAGTTTCCTACTCTGAAAGCTCTGTTCTTGCCCTTACTGCAGAACAAACATGCAGAGCAGGAAAGCCCCGGGTGTTATTATTTCAGCTCCAGATTGCCCCATAAAGGCAGGTGTTCCAAATCCCACTACCAGCAGTGAGGTGGCCCTGGCCCATGACTCTGTGGTAGTCATGATTTCTTGTCATGGTTTGAAATGGAGGGGCTGGCTCAGAATGTGTACAAGAGCAGCTTGTACAAGCAAGCCCAGCACCCAGGGGCTGTATGTGCTGTGTGGGTTGGGACCCAGTCAGGGACTGTGCTGACAAGGCATGAGCCTTGATTTTGGACCCCAGGCTGCTGGGCATCTCATTGGCTCCATTCTGTGGCCAACTACATTCCCCAAAATGCTGCATGTGGCCAGCTCTGCCACCCTTGATCCATCATGTCTGGTACCCCTGGGAGCTGTGCATTCAATGTCCCAGTCAAAGCTAACCCATGCGGCTGCTTTGCCCAAGGGAGGGCACCCAAGAATAGCCACAGGTTGGCACAGCTTTTGCCCACATATCCACCTCTAACCTGGCCAAAACACCAAAGCACCCTAGGGCCTTGCACCAGTCCCTGAAAGCTCCTGCCTGACCCCAGCTCCAGCAGCCTGTCCTCCCACTGTGACTCCCCCATACAATGTGGCACAGCAAAAACCCATCCCCTTCCCCAGGAAGAAATGCTGGGAAAGAGCCCCTGGTGTTCCAGGGCTGGAGGAGCCCCGCTGCACCCTTTTCTTGAAACACAGGGCTGCTTGCAGCTGCTTGTGCCAAAAGCTGCTCCACCAGTAACATCAGGAACACCAGCTGCTGCAGTGCTGTAAGGGGCCCAGAAAGTGGTTTGTAGAAGGAAAAGAAGGAAACAAAAAAAACACCAACCCAAAAACACCGTTTAAAGGAAAAAAAAAAAGGCAAAACCAAGCATTCTTTGCTTGATTTCAACAGATATTAGGAACTAAACATTAGGAACTAACTCCTTTCTAAACCTTGCTGTCTGCCAGCTGGAGCTTTACTGGTGATGGACCTGGTCCTAACTAAGCACTGCCTTGCGAAGTTTATAGTAATGGCCAAACCCATCTACATTTGGGCTCTAAAAATGCCCAAAGTTAGTATTCAGCTACTAACACTTCAAATATGTACTTTTTAATTTTTCCTTTGGAAAGACACAAACAGTAGGGACACTTAACTATACACCCACTGACGAATAAACTTTTTCAATTCATAAATATAAACTTACCATTAAAAAGTGACAATTTACAAAAATACAATTTATTGCTGACCCTATGGGCTTGTAAAAATCATGTGTTTGATTATACATTTTGGGTTTGCCAAACTGAAACATGACCTAGCAAAACCACAAAGTTTGCTGTCATATGTTGTTCTATGCATGTTTGCTTGTTTTCATGTATAGAAACATATACAACTACCTCACTTGAAACAAACTAACAAACAAAAAAGATTCTTTTTCTGTAACCCAAAAATATCTGGCTACAGGGAGTAAAAAACATAAAACCATATAAATTTGTATGTTTTTATGTTTTGCTTGTTAACCAAAAGTAAAACATGACAAATATTGTACTAGCTGCGATGTGAGCTGGTATAACAACAGTAAGAAATTCAGGCAAAAGTGGTGTTATGTAGATTAGCAGCATTATCCAAACTCCTGGAAAAAAAACCTGTGGGACTGAGGTATAGAAAAAGGAAAAAGAATTCACAATGGACCTACTACAGCAAAATGAGTTATGTACATGGTAATCCAATGGTGTCCTGCAGACTGGTACAGTCTATGTGCTCCAAATGCTGGGCTTAAATTCACAGTGACTTTCAGCATTGAAATTCTGAATGGAAAAGGTTTTTTTCCATTGCAAACTGAACTTCATGATGGCCTGATACCACACCCCCCTGCAGCAAGAAAGCCACCACTTCCAGTGGCACCACGGTGCCAGGCCAGGGCACACCCTGCTGCTGGAACAGCATCATGGGCTGGCTACATGGAAAGCCCAACAAACGAGGCTCTTGCAGCCATGCATCCCTGTCAGAGATCATCCCTCCAGCCATCATCTCCCCATGGAGCCCAACCTCTTCCTGTGCTGTGTTGTGCTGGCATCCTGCTCTCCTGTATGTGCCTGGGCACAGCAGCCGCAGCCTTGTCTCCCAGAACCGACTTTCATGGCAGCTGCATCTCGGGCAGGTCAGGCAAGTTGCAGGGCTGGCCCTGTGTGTGGTGGCTCTGCTGCTGCGGATGGAGGAAGTAGCTCAAGGGGTTCTGCTGTGGAGTGTGGGATGGCTGGAAAATGCGTTGTATTGGAGCCCCAGGCACCAGCTCAGGACCTTGCATCTGTTGGGAGACACAAATCTGAGCACAAATCTGCCCCATCACCCAGCTGTCCCTCTTGTGCTGCAGGGCTGATGCTGAGACTCGTGCCCAGGAGTGTGTGCACCAAGTCCTAAACTTGAGGGTATGAGCTGTGCTCCTCAGAATGCTGTTGCTGTCAGCACAACCAACAATGCCTGGAGAGCACAGAGGGGAATCAGGACTCATCTGTCCTAACAGGCTCATGAGGAGCCCAGCAAGAATAGAGACCTCCAAAAGCTGTATGTGAGGAATAATCTGCAGGATGTGCAACTTTCATCTTTCATGGGAAAGACCTTCAGACAACCAAGGAAGAGATCTTAGAGCAACCATGTATCCACCCATGACTGGTACCTCAAAGACCTGGACTTGCCTCCTGCTAAAGGCACTGTGTCATCAAACTCTGGTTTACTGTGGACCTGGAGCTATTTATCTGTTCCAGCATCATCATTCTGCTGTCCACACTGCTGGTAATTAGGACCACAAGGCAGCCCATGAGGACACATACCCAAAGCAGCGAAAGTTCATGCCCACATTTGCTGACAACAGCAATTAATTCTCACTCTAAATCCAGTCCTGCTGTGTGGCTGCTTTTCAGCTATACCTACTCCTCTCACTTTCTTTTCTACTATCTTTGCCTGCTCCAATACCTGAAGGTAGAGGTGGTGCTGCTGAACTTGCTGCTGTGGCCACTGATGCAGATGAACTGGTGTGCTGGCCTGGTGGGATGTGAAGCTGGAGTGTGGGATCATTAGAGACGGGGAGAAGATGGGTGGTGGGGCTGGAGGTCTGATGGTGCTGCAGGTGGCTGGCTGCACCTGTGCTGGGGGAGGCAGGGTCTGCTGCTCTGCAACAAGCCTGCCACAAGGAGGAAAACCAGTCATGAGAACCCACACCAAAACCCACCCTCAGAATGGGCAGTGGGAACCAGCCTGGAGAAGAGCTGGTGCAGGCCTTGCTGACAGGCAGCCCCTGATTCCCCTCTGCCCACAAAGCATGGACTAGAACTGCTGAAAATTAAGGTTTTTAAGGTTGTACATTTTCTCTATGTCTTGGTCAAGCATTTGATACTTTGCAAAAGCCAGAAAATTGATAATTTTTTTTCAACACACTTTATTTATAAAGTTCTTTGTAATTAAAAAATATTCTCATTTTTCTCCTAACTGGCTAAAATTTTGTTTCATTTCAGACTGAGACTGTGTTTGTGTGACCAGGTTCAAGTTTTTCCATGTCTTTTTCATCGCCTTAAAGTGTCCTGCTAAGACACTGCAGAAAAATAAGGGCAAGCAGAGACTCACTTTCCTTGCTGCCTGCTGGCGCTGCTCTGCAATGGCTGACAATTGCTGTTGGCTGTGGGCATCATGGCTTGGATGGACTGATCCAACAGCATCCTGTGGTGGAAGGAACAAAGAGGTTGGTCAGGGAAGGGAGAGGGCCAAGGTCCTGTCAGTCTCTAGAAACAACTCCTTGAAAATCCTCCATGAAAGCAGGTAAACGACTACCTTCTAAACAAGGTAATGAAATAGGATGCTTCTTATCACGTCACATTTCTCCTGTGAATACATGCTGAGAAGATTGGGATTGTTGAGACTGGAGAAGAGAACGCTCCAGGGACAATTTATAGTACTTTCCAGTACCTAAAGGGGCTAAAAGAGAGCAGGAAAGGGACTTTTGACAAAGGCATGGAGCAATGGGACAAGGCAGAATGACTTTAAACTGACAGAGGGCAGGGTTAATTTATGGAAATAGGGAGAGAAGAGGATTTAAGGCCTCTGATAATACAGCATGATGTGCATAGCACCCTGACTGCCTGCACACTAGGCTCACCCCTGCAGAGGGAGCATCCTTACGCTGGCTGTGGCATCCCAAGCCCATTGCCCTGAGCCCAGCCACACCTTCCCTCCTTGCTGCCCAAGTACTGCTGTTTTCTGTCACTGCTCCTGGGATGGTCCCAGCAGGGCTGTGGGTACCTGAGGCTCCTGTCCTGGCTGTAGTCAGCTGGTGGTTGCCTCTCACTGCTGTCAGTCGGCACCTGTGCAGCCACAGTGATAGGGTGTGTTTGGGAGAACACCATGGGGTTGTTGTAGAAGGGCACTGAAATGCTTGCCTGCCCTGGCACACATAATTGCTGGCCTTGGCTTCCTCTTATTGGATGCTGCTGCTTCTGCTGCTGTACCTGAAATGAAGACATAGGTACTCACGTAAGTTTTAAAGCTCCCTAGTGGAAGGACAAAATAACCACTTACAGTGGGCAGATGGGAAAAGGAGAAGGAACAATAGGATATTGCTCCTGAACACAGCAGTAGGAACAGATATCTATTCAAGACCATCATATCATATCTATTCAATCCATCAGCATTTATAGTGCCTGCAGGGCAGGTGTTGGCATCCCCAGACAGTCTTTTGAGAAATTAGACTACAAGGATAAGGGCACAAAAGGCTTGAGGAGGAAGAGAACAGCTTAAGAGGGGAAGTGCAAATCTGAAGTCTCCAAGGAAAGCATATGTAATTAAAGCAGCAGTTTTGGTCTTTTTTGGTTTTGAACACATCTTTCCTATTTTAATAGTGGATTTTGATCTAGTGATGACAAAATCATTTTTTCAAAGCTGCCTTCCAAGACTCCTCAGGTAGATCAAAATTAATCTTTTAAAATGATACTTCTGTGTTATGAAACCACAGCTCTCACTGACTATGAATGAACACCATGTTGATGAGAGCTCAGACCTCCCATTGACTTCCTCCCCAGTCACCAGGAGGGCTCCAGCAGTCTTTGGGCTTTAAATGCTTTTTGGCTTCCTGGTTTTTATTTTTACAGTTGAGTGACATTGTTCACAACTGACTCCTGACTCAAATTCCTCAATGCCAGCTATGCAGTAAAACCAACACAGAGGAAATGTATGGGACCATGGGGAGGAGCAACATGGCAGACAAGTTTTTAGAAGCTGGGAAAGGGGATAATGACAATGAAGCAGCCAGTGACCTGGGGGACTGTGCCACAGGGGTCCCTGAGGAATGGGTGCGGTGACAGCAGGTGGGTGCTGCAGTAGTGCTTTGTCCCCATGAGGACTGGCTGCTGTGACTTCTTGGCTGTGGTCTGCCTGGGTGTCCCCTGCGGCGGCGGCCTCCGGGGGCTCGGCTGCTGCACAGTGTTTAAGATGACAGGGATCGGCTGCTGCATCAGCATCTTTAAGTAAAAAAAGCACAGGAGTTGTTGGTAGTACTGCCTGGCAGAAATAACACTACAGCAGCAGCAGTATCTCTAAACCCAGGGGCAAAATGAACCAAGTAACAGAAAATCAAATGTTAACTTGTGTCAAATATTTATTTGGAGCCAGGGCTGTTCAAGCTCCATTGTGCCTGCTGTGTTTTGCAGGAGTGACAGAGGGGATCCAGCAGCACTAATCAGACACAGAACCACCAAACTTTTTGTGCATGGGAGACTTTGGATTAATTTGGGATTGCTTTTTTCTAAATCACCAAAATTACTGATTAATTACCCAGACACATTGACCTCACCTCTCGGGAAACACCACTTCCACATCTGAAACCAAGTTACCAATTTGTCAAGAGTTCATTCCCCAATGCTTTTGCCACAGACAATTTTGTTACTGTTCCGTGTGCTCAAAGGAAAAGCAAATGGCTGGTGAGTTTGGGAGCACCAGGAGCAGCAGGTACCTGCAGGTTCGAGTCCTGCACGAGCTGGAGCTGCTCCTTGATGACATGGAGCTCCTCTTGCTGCGTCTTGATGTCAGCTTGCAGTATGCGAGTCCTTTCCTCCAGCTGCTCTTTCAGCTGGTGCATCATCCCCAGCTGGGTGGGGAAATGGTACACTGGCTGCAAAGAACAGAGAAAAAGGACCATGGGGTAGGACCAGTCCTGTTACTCACATCCATAGCAATGCTTGATTCAGAAAAATGACTGCTTTTCAGCTTTTGCCATAAAAAATACAATGCTGACAAAAAATGGCAATTGCATATTTAACCAAAGTGACACTGTAGTTTCAGAGCAGCACCACATCTGGCTCACACACAGTGCCTCCCTCCAGGTGTTTTCTTTATAATTTCTGCATAGATGAAGTGTCTATACATGGGACTCTCCTGTCTCCCAGGATAACACCCTTCTGGTTAGAGCCCACTAATATTTTGTGGCAGACACTGCATCCAAACCCTTGCCACACCTCCTGGCTGAGCTTCCAGTTCTGCTGCTAATATTTGGCAGGTGCCAAGCCTAAGTTAGGCTGAAATCCCACCTGGGGATCCATCCTTTGCACCCACATTGGCCATTTTCAATCTCTGTTTTATAGTCTGAACATTCACTGCACTGACATCAAAGCCCTGTAAGGACAGACCTTGTCATTACAGTTTTATGGCTCCTTTTTCTTGGGGTTTTTGTTTTCTTTTCCTTTCCTGGCCTAACTCAAACCTTCCATGACATCCCTTTCCTCTACTAGAACTCTTCAGCATTGTACCACCCTGTAGACAGCTGCTAGAGATCCAGGGAGAAGCCTTCAGCAGCCCACAACACTTTTGACAAGTGTAAACCTTCTCCTATGCTATTTCTTTGAGTGTCCTACCTGCTCTCTCTGCTTCATGAAATAAGTGGTTGCAATAAGGTTGTTGCAGGTAAATCTCAGCAACAGAAAGGGCACATAAACCTTGTCCCCACTCTGGGATGAGCCAGCAAGGACATGAGGGCAGTGAACCAAAGCCACCTAGGCTGCCCTGCTGACAGGACACACCAATGCACTTAACAAAAATAAACCACATACCATCAGAGGGTTCTGGGAGGGCCCTGCCAGCTGAGCCACAGGGTGCTGACAGAGGTGTTCACCAGGAGCTTGAAGAATGGCTATGGCCTAGGAATGAAAACTTTGCCTTACTGTAGGTCCATAGCACCTCTAGTGCAGAGCTGGTGCTTTACCAGCTCTACCAGGAATGAACAAGTGCAGGGAATTGGACAACTGAGATTGGAGATCTGAGGATAAGTCTGAAGGGAGAATTTAGGCTCCTGAATGGCCCTGATAATTTCAAGTCCTTGGTGTCAGCATTCATTTTGGTTAAAGGCTATCTTATGTATACAAACCCCAAGAAAAGAAGGTTGGTGGTGTGAAAAGGCATTTGGCCTGGAGGAGCAAACTGAATCCTGAAAGAAAGCAGCAGAGGAGCCCCTAGCATCTCTCCACTGGCTCTGCTAGCCAGTGGCACTCCCCAGGAAGTCCCAGCACACTCAGAGTCTGGGATCCAGCATCTCTGAGGGTGAGATCAATGCTTGTTTTGCTCATTTCACTACAGCCTCAGAAAGGCTCTTGCTCCTCAGGACCACTGACCTGAGTGCTCCTGACCGTTGCCAGCCGCAGGGCTGTCTTCTCCCCTGAAGCCCCCGGCACTGACAGCCGGGTGGGAGTGCTGGTCTCTGTGTGCCGCAAGGATGATGTGGCTGCAAAAGAGACATTCACTGTGGTACAGCAGACCTGTATCTGGGTACCCTGGCTAAGCCTGAAATCCACATATGCAGATGGGTAGTACCCAAATAGTGCCAAAGTGGGTCCTCAAACTACCCCTCTACAGGCAGTTTGGCTCTCTGCCCCTCTATGGTGTCCCTCTGTCTCCCCACCTGACTTGCTCGCATCCCTCCTGATGCTAACCCCCTATTCAGCCTGCCCTCCATGGCTGTATCCAGATGAGATTCCCACTCTCCCCACGGCAAGTATCTCAAGAAAAGTCCCCTGAATTTCCTACTCATGGACCCACACAGGGCACAGCAGTCATCTTGTTGCCTCCCCCAGGGCAAGAAGGGCACTGATGGGAGCTGGGATGAAGCTGCCAGCAAGGCAGGCATCCTTCTGTGCTCCTTCTGCAGGGATTTCACAAGAGAGATGTCATAATAAAATTGTATTGTCCCCACATAAAACTTTTGTCAGTGAGGTTGACTCAATCAAGCTAGCAAGTCACCTCTTGTCCTCAGAACCACAGCAAACAGTCACAACCCTCAGCTGGTGACAAGCCAGGGGAAATCTGCTCTCAAACAGGTGGTGGGTTTAGAGGGAGGAAGCATCAGGTGGCCATGGCTCTGTTGCTGCTGTGTGACTTGTCATGACATGGTATGTAGGTCCCAGTGCTGAGCATTCCTCTCCCACCCTGACTTGGTCACTTCCGGCCAAACACCAGTATTTTAGAGGTTGCTCTGCCCTCCAGCCCACCCAAGCCTGCACCCAAGCTGGGCTGCCCCAGCACCTACAGGTGGAGTTGGAGAGGGTGGTATGCGAGGAGTGCTGGGAGCTGTGTGATGACAGCGACACTCCCTCTCGGCTGGCATCCTGGCTGCTGCCGCACTGCCCCACGTCCAGGTAGCTGCTGTGGCTCTGAGAGGAGCAAAGCACAAGTGGTGAGATTGTCAGCAGAAGGGAATGGCCCTGGAAGGGACCTCCACCTCTCTGAGCCCTTGTTTGTAGACAAACCTAGCAGGTTTGCAGCACCACACCACCAAACCCTGTTCACTCCATCCCTCTGTGTTCAACCGAAAGCCTTCTGGCACACAGGACCCTCACACTCATGCCCTGGGCACCCATCTGATTGCAGTGAGCAGCAGTGAAGGATTTCTCCTCCATGTGGATTGCTGCCCATGGCCTGCACTCTGGTGTGCTAATGTCCTTCTCCCCTCACAGAGCTGTGGGCAACAGGTTTTGTAGTCAGCCTCTTTCTGCCCGATATCTTCAGGGATGTCACAGCTGGTTGGCTGTGGTGCACTGGGGAGTGGTGGCAGGGGGAATGAATGAAGGTGGCAGGAGGTGCTACCTGGGGAATAGTTTTATCCATAAAAGAGATGGAGACAGATGACTGGACAGGGAGCAGTGCCATGGAGACATCACCTAGAGCCCCAAGAGGATCTACAGCAAACGTCTCCTAAGGAGGACAAATGCTGAGAAGTGCTTAGAGCTTCAATTCCACTCACTGCTCCCTGGGGAGCAGTGGCTCCAGCAGCCTGTTCTGGGAAGGACCTGGGCAGCAGAGGGGAACAGCCTGAGCTCCCATAAAAATAACGTCTGAAAGGCAATGAGACTGATGGAATGACAACTATACCACAACCCACTTGAAATTACTTTGATTGCTGATCTTATTTGTAAACTACCAAGCTTACAGAGGAGAAACTTAAAAGTAGTGAAAATTACACTGTTACTTGGGCTGATGTGTGGCGATGCCAGACTGACTCAAGCCATGGAAGTTACTGCTCATGGAAGTTATAGGTCACAATCCTACACTTGATGTGATCCAGTAACTGAGCTGTAATCTATGTGTTTTCCCTTGCCTTCCCATCTTCATCTGAGTATCAGTGATGAGGTGGCACAAGCAAAACAGGTACCCTGTGGTGCTGCCCTAATCTTGGATCCTCTGTGCCTTACTAAGGATGACAGGTACAGCAATCTGGCCTCTGGCTCCAGCTCTACTTCTCTGCTTCTGAGCTGAGGTGGTTTAACCTGTCATTTGCATCATGGTCTCAGAAAGATCACAGGGACCAGAACAGAATAATGCAACTGCTGAATTCAGTTATTGCAGAATCAGAGAGTACTTGGTGTTAAAGATCATCTAGTTCCAATCCCCCTGCCACGGGCAGGGACATCTTCCACTAGATCAGGCAGTTCAAAACTCATCCAGCCTGTCCTGAACCAACATGGACAATTTGGAGCCATGCACAGGAAAGCTTCTTAGGGCCTGCCTAAGTCATGACCCAGTTGAAGGCTTGGAATGAGATGGGAGTAAAGAAAATGGAGAAGAAAGAACAGATATTTCCCTAAGATTGGTAAGCTATAACTCAGTTTGGTTTAAACATCTCATTCAACTGTGAAGGAACACGGTACCTTTAGAGAAGAGGATGCCAGTTCAATTGATGACTCCTCAAGGCCAAGATCTCGCCTTCTCTCAGCCCGAACTTCTGCATAACTAAAAAAACCCAAAACAAAAACCAATCAAACAAACAAAAACAAAAAAGTGAAAAACAAAAAAACCCTAACAACAACAACAAAACAAAACCCAAACCAACCAAACAAACAAAAAAGAAAGATTTTACAGTTTCTGTTCAGGTAAACTGCCAAGTGTACACTCATTCTCAAGAATCCTTGTTTTTGCATGGTAGTTCAGTGATCCCTATGCCAGTGCCTTGGGCAGGACGAGGTCAGGTCCCTCCTTCTGAGGGTGCACAGAACTGTGCATGCATCAGAGTTACGCTCCAGTGGAAACTCCAAAGACCAACAAGCAGCTACACATGTGCAATGCGAAGTGCCAGAACCCCTGTAAGGTGCCTCTGAAAGTGTATATTTTCTTTCCTTACTTTTTTGCCTCTGAAATAATGAAATATTTCCAGTATCAAATGCCACGTGATTCACCACTAGGATAAATTGGAGAGGATGTTTCAAAGACTCTCTGAGTGCTCATGGATCATGGGTACTGAGAGGTGCCTGGCTTTAGGGTGATGAAATATTAATGAGCTGCAACCTTTGTGGGAGGCAAGAGAAGTTGCTGAACCGACCTCACTTACATCATCGTGGCAATGAATTTTCCAGAAACAACATTTTAACTTGTGTGCTTCAGTAACGTATTTTAAGCCTTAACTATCTGAGACAGAATTGAACAAAATCTATTTAGGACTACATCATTAGGTCTAAGAAGCACTGGAAGCATAAAGAAGAAACAAATTCATGCACAATAGATTCAGTCCTTAAAGTGAAGCTGAATTCCCTGAAGGATGGCAGAACCAAGACAACTGAGAAGCAATCTGTCTGTGTAACATTTGCTTATGTTAGCACTTCATACGTCATTTATACCACAAATCATAGAATCAGAATCAATAGAATTTGGCTTGAAAAGGACCGTAAAAATTACCTTGTTCCAAGCCCTCTACTGTGGGCAGAACACCTTCCACTAGACCAGGTTGTTCAGGGCCCCAGCCAACCTGGCCTTGAATACTTCCAGGGATGGGGCAGCCAAGCTTTTCTGGGCTTCCAGTGCCTCATCACCCTCACAGGGAAGAATTTCTACCTAATCTAAACCTATCCCTGACAGTTTATCCGTTCCCCCTTGTTCTACAACTCCATAATTCCTTCTCCAGCTCTCCTGGAATTCCCTTAGGCACTGAAAGAGGCTCTAAGGTCTCTCTGGAGTCTTCTCTTCTCCAGGCTGAATAACGCCAGCTGTCTCTTCCTGTCTTCACAGGAGAGGTGTCCCAGCCCTCTGAGCATCTTCATGGCCCTCCTCTGGCTCACTCCAACAGACCCATATATTTGACATTTATTAGTGTTTACTCTTCCAGATGTTTGACAGAAAAAGAGGGGGACCAGAAAAAAATTGGTTCCTGACAGAAAAAAAATACATAGTGAGCAATAAATTTACTCAAATTAACAGAGCAAACCAGTGCGTTGCTATTTTTTCAAGCCCTTCAGAAAATACATTCTTACTCTTCATACAGTCTTTTTTGAGATGGCTGTGGTAACCCCTCCAGAAGGTGCATTCACACACATTAACCGCCTTTCAGCACGGGCTGCAACTCAGCACAAGCAGCTTTCCCACTAGAGGGGGATCCAGGGCTTGATTTGGGTGAGGAATAAGGCCAGTAAGAGAGCAGCTAACTTCAAGTCATAAATATTTAAAGCTCTGATCAAAAGGTTTCGTAGGAGTTATATGATCTCATTCATGCCCAGAAAGATGTCTGATTTCCAACAGCTTTAATTCTTTCTATAGCTATGTCATCACTAGGGACAAAAGGGGAATGTAACACACTAATAGATTTGGCTAAAGGTGGCTTTCAGGCTTTTGGCTAAGTTGCCAAAAAAAAAAAAAAAAAAAGTAGATAAGTAAATAAGCCACATATACCCTATCAGAATAGTTTAATGGAATTATGTATCATTTTAGTGTGTCAGTAGGCACAGCAAGTATTTGGTTAACATGAAACAGAACTAGAAAAAGCAATGCCTGGACACTGAGACATAACATAGACTTTGAAGAGTTTGGTTCTTGTTCCTACCTAACTACCAGATGAGTACAAACAATGAACTCAGGCTTGGAGTTCCACTGGTGGTAGGTGATGTAGTAGTGTGTCTGCAGCCATATCCACTGCTGCCCTTTGGTCAGGAACCGATAGTAACAGGACTTTCCTTTTCCAAACTGCATCACTGTTTAACAAAAAGAGAAAGCAATTTATAGCAAACAGGGATTTTATGGTGCAAAGGTGATTAGAAAAACCATTCAATCCCACACCCTCTCCCAGACTGGGGCAGTGCTAAAATGGTTTTTGAGCTTTATAAACAAGACAGATGATACACAACCATGCACTCGGCTCTTGTTTGGGGTCATTCCTGCTGACTGTCAGGAGTGCCCTTAGCTGTTTTGAGATTTCTCTTATAACTGGTATAACTATATAACTAGCTACATTCTGGGCTCCCTGAAATAAGCATAAATAACATTAATTAAACAAATTATTTATCTTTCGTAAGAACCTGAGAATGCATTTCAAAGACTGAAAATGTGAAGTAAGAATCCTAATAATGGCACAAAACAACAAGATAGTAGAGTTTTTACTGAAAGTTTTCTTCCAAGAAAACTGAGTTTTCTTCCAAGACCTGGCCTACTCCAACCTGGTATATATTATCAGGCTATGACCAGAAAAATCTCAGGTAGTGTAGCACAACTGGAAAATGAGGGGAACTATGTTAAATAACCACACTAATTGTTCCAGACTGCTGTGAGTACAAAATGAAACATGCTCACTTAAAAAAAGTACCCACAATTAATGCAATATAAAATACAAATGTGGTTTAAACAAACCCATTTCACTTGACAGTAGGCAAGATGTCTGCCCAAAGTGTCAATGTGACAAACAGGAACTTAGCAAACCACACTAACCCAGGTGGTTTTTTTACTCATCTGCACACCTCTATTTTGTTAAAATATCAGCACTGACTTCTTTAGCGACCCCATTAACAGTGATGGGCTTTAGATGAATGTGCTGGTTTTACATTAATTTTTATTTGATGAGGAGGGAAGAAGCTACCCACAGAAATTATTTTTCTGAGAGAACCTGCTAAGAGCTTACCCTGTGCCTGGCAAAAACCAATAGCTGGCTAGCTCTGAGAATTGATAACTTAATAGCCCATTAAAAAGCTAGACCCGCCTCTGTGTGATGTGAAATTCACATTTTAAAGATGGGCAATCTCTCTCTTGCTTCTGGCTTTGAAGCGGTAACTGGGCGCCAGTCGGGCCGGCCCCGCTCCACTGCGGCCCTCGGGGCCTGGCGGGGCCGAGCCAGACTCCAGTGCTAGCCGGGCGGAGAACGGGAGGCTGCGGGGCCCCGGCCGGGGCTGGGCCGGGCCGTGGCTGCTAACATCTTGCTGACACTAAGCCCTGCCCCACTGCTGGCCCACGCAGAGCCGGGATCCGCCGGGCCCCGGGAGCGGCTCCGGGCCGGGCCAGACCCCCTCCGCCGCGTGGCTGCCGGGCAGGGGCAGGGGAAGCCATCGGCCCGCAGCTGGAATTGAAGGAAGCAGGGGCCGGAGAGCAGCCATGCGGCCGCTACCGTTCTGGCCGGGCCCCCTGAGATCTTGGCACAGCCCCCAGCGCGACCTGAAATCCCTCACTGTGACTGCTTCAGCTACCGCCCGGCAGAAACCATCGTGACCATCTGCAGGCCTGGGCGAGATATTAACTCTTCCACTCCACAGATGAAACTTGCAAAACATTGATCCTCGTTCAAGTGAGAGAAAAAGACAGTGTGAAGACATGTAGAAACTAAGGTCAGTAAAGAAAGAGTCAAATCTCAGATGGGAGGAGAATGAGGCGATTCCTTAGTCTTAGGCTGGAATTCTTTTGGTAAGGCCATGGAGATGGACTATCGTACACTAGAATATCCCCTTTAAATCATGAAAAAGTTTGGGGGGATGGAGTGTTCAAACTAGACCTGAGCAGAGGCATCCATAATGAAGCAAAGCAGATGTTTAAGTAGCTGTGATCCCATGAGAAGCTTGAACAGAGAGAGATGAGAATGATGAAGACTCTTTGCCCCCCAGAGAAAGAAGAGGAGGAACTCTGTTCCCAGAAATGAAGATCATCTCAGAGACACATGAAGGGAACCTTTACTTTTGAACAGCTTATTCTTAAAATAGTGCCCCATAAGTTTGACATGGCCTATGGACGCAGCTGTGGGAAGGCTGTAAGGCATGGGAGGAACTTCATGATTGCAGATTTTCTGGGCAGCTGCTATTTGTGGAAATTAAAAGCCACAGGAGAACTGTTTCTTGTGGAGAAGTCTCCATGGCATGGCAAAAGAAACTCCTCTCCTTATGAGAACTGATGAAAGACTATTGTAGAGGTGGTAACTGATTTAAAATCCCAGGTTTTTTCTCTATGTTGTCAGTTGGGAAAGGAAGTTGGGTAGGGGGAGAAGAAATGAATCGGAAGGTTTTATTCTGATTCTTCTTATTCTTTTAGTTCTGTTAATAAAGTTTTCTTTATACCTTTTAAGTTTTGAGCCTGCTTTACCCTCCTAATTTATAGCTCACAGCAGGAAATGAGTAATAATTCTAGTAGGTGCACTGGTGATTTTAGCAAGTGCTAAACCCACTACAATGAAGCACTTAGCTGAGATTTTCTGGCTAACATGACATGCTGGGGATCCCTCAGTTCCTAGTCCTGGCAGACATGTCCTGAAGCAGCTTCTCTAAGTCACTTTGTCAGCACTTTACTTTGTGCAGTAAAATGAAAAGACCCTTTCGTACAGATGTGTTGTCCAAATATTCTTCTAATAGGTAAGACAAATGCCTGGATGATAGAGATGTAGAATATAAATCATCAGATCAATTCTCTACTTAATGATCTGACCCACTCCCAATATAGTTTGTGTCTATACCAAACTGCACATGCATTACCAAAAAGCCACTGCCTGGTTAAGTATTTCACTTGTATCTGAATCATCTTCTTAGCGAACACCACTAAGAAGTACTGTACTTGAGAGCAGCTAAAATATTCTGTTAATATTCCCATCTACACTTTTGTTGCATTTGACACAATTTGTGTGTCCCCCTGTCACAGCTTCCTCTATGTGCTCAGCCAGGCAACCCACTTCTCTGGCAGCTCCTGTACCAGTGCTTTGCCTGGACAGGGCAGAGCAGCCAGCAGGGAAGTGGGGTAGGGAAACTTGACATGCAGAGAAGTATTTTTCCCCATACTCTTCTAGGTCCCTCAGCTCATATATGTAAATGGTAGAGGGTTTGTGGTAGAGATGAGGGTGGTTTGCAGCTCAGAGATAGTTTTTCTTCAGTGGGTTGTGGGGCTTATTGGTAGAGTTTCTTGGTCCCAGCATCATGCTGCTCTGCATCTTAGAGAAATTACAGCATCCCACTTGCTCCACTCACTCTCTGGGGTGTCTTGTTTCCTTTTGACAAAACACTCCTTTCAAGTGGAGATAGCAGAGAGACAGACAGTGTCCCAAACAAGAAATCTGTAAGTAATATTTCTTAGCAAAATACCTGATTACCTAGATGCATTTTACAAAGTATTTAGTTATATTTCATTGCAATGCTTGGTAATGCAAAACTACCACAGGACACACGTAACTCTGGCTCAGTATCTCAGTCTGAAAGGCACCCAGTAAAATAGAAAAATCTGGGTCTTGGGAATAAAGCATCTCACATCTGGTAGGAAACTGCACACTGCTTAAGAGCAGATCACACCTGCAGACACCTGCCCTTCCTCATGTTCGCTCCAGCCCTCAGCAGGACATAGTTCTTCAGCATTGAGTGCACTGCTGTGGGAATCACACAAGTTCTTCTGCTCTGTCTGTGACAGGCCACGCTATTTCTCCTTGCACAAAAATAAACTTCATGGACCTTCTTTGGTGTTCACACATTAGCCTGAACTTGACTCTTTTGCTTTGTTGTTTTCCTTTCAGGTCAACAAAACATGAGCCATCTGCACCCACAGGGGAACTGTGTTCAGTACTTTTGTATGTAAAATAATTCTGAATCTATAGAAGCATTTTACTAATGAGTATGTGAGGTTCACAACACCTAACTGCACAGACAGGTGATCCAAATGATGCTCTCCAAAGGTGTTTTGGTGAGCTGAGCCTCCTGGCTAACTCTGTAGCCCAGGGGAATGGCAAGACCCCATGAACTGTGACAAATCAACAAAACTCGCAGGGCAGAGGCGGGATAGTTCTGACTTCCAACCTTTTAATCTCATTTCACTCTGAGACAACCTATGCTCAAACAAGTTATCTTCCAATTCAAAAAACCTACACAAACAGTTCCCGATCTGACTGAATTCTGCAGATTTCAACCTCCCAGGTAAGTGTCAGCTGTGACAGTCTATCATGGGAAGGGAGAGTTCCTGCATGCCTCTGAAGAAAAAGCCTTTTGCAATGACAGTAAAAGGTTTTGCACAAGTGACAAAGGAGATCAGAGACAGACACACTGCAAAGGCAGGGCAACTTACAGTGTTCATGGCACCTAGCAAGAAGCTCCAGGTCATCTGCGTGGTAGTAATCATACCCTGATGTTCCCAGAACTTCAAAGGGTAAATATCCTATAATAGGTGGAGCCCTAGAAAGGAAGCAAAGGGCTAGGAGTGAGCACAAAACTTGACACTTTGACATCCTGGCAGATAAGCTGTGATACCAGCAATAAACACCTGGTTAGTTCACTTGGCAGGGAAATCTGGAGTGGATTTTCATATAGGCAGTGATGTGTTTTAATATAAAACAAACAAAAAAAAATACAGCAAGGGAGAGGTAAAAATTGAGAGAATTAAAAGATGTGTGTTTACTGTTTCACAGCCTATTCATTATGTGGGTGTAGAGAAAGGACTGTACGTATGTGAGTGACTCAATTCATTAAGGATGCTTGTGAGATACAGCTTGAGAAACTCTATGGCTGATCCTGAACAACTTGGAGCTAGAGTAAAATTATCCAGCAGGTTGGATATAAGTATCATCTGGGTAGTAACTTTAGAAGAGAGAGTAAGTGGGAAGCTGCAGTGTGTGTCAGGACCAGCTTGGGAAAAAGTAATTTCTCCCCTGGAAAACCTTGGGAAACTATAGCCAACAAAACTTTCGGTGCTGGTAGGACAGAGCAATAAGGCATGGGGCTGTTGTAGGGCTGTTTTTGCTTTGGTTGGTAGAGAAGGAATTGATGAAGTATTTAGATAGGCACATTGCAATGATTTACCTACCTAGTCTGCTATCAATTCTAGATTTTCCTTTTTCTAGGCAAAACATGAGATTTTTTAAAAGCAGGTATCCTAACACAGCCTTCACCAAAGCCTGATAGCTTATGATTGTGAAACAACACTGAAATGTGGGGAGATAACCACTGTTCTTGTCTCTGTTCCCTATATCAGCATGTCACTATCCATCTCCCAGCACTTAGGTACAATCCTGCCTGCACCAACTCAAGCACCCAGTGAGGCAGAATATATGCTAATGTGGCTCTACCTGTTTGTTCTGGCTGCAGGATGTGCTGATAGTATTCACTTGCCAAGTTCAGTGTGTTTCTCAGGAACAGGGCAAAATGGTAAATAGCTCAAAATGGGGCAGGGTGAAGACAATATTGCCTATCAAACCTGCCTCTCCTGCTGCCCCTCTCCTGGTAAGCTGAGTGCTCTTAAGGAAGAAGGCCATAAAGTGGCCAAAACCATGAGGAAAAAAATATTTCAGCGTATTACACATGGGTTTTGATGGCTCAGTCATCCTGAGTTTCTTGGTTATTACTGTGTGAAGTTCTCTCTTGGCTGAGCCACTCAGCTCCACATTTGTCCTCTTGAAAGACACAGTGGTTATTCAGCCACAGAGAGCCCAGGCAGGTCTATAACCTCCTCCTCCTCTTCACCACAGCTGTGGGCAGTCTGGCACTAAATGGGAAATGAAGGGAGAAGGATGATCTAGGGATCTGTTCAACAGCAGTCCCAGGAGGAGCAGTGTGTGGGCAGGAGCTCCTAAGTCCCAGCACAAGGGGTTAGCTGGGACAGCCGGACCTCCACTTGACAGCAAATCCCTTGAAACGGAGTGCACTGAGCACACAGTGGTCTCTGCCACAATACGGTTTTATTTAGTCAAGTAACTTTTCATAGCACTCTGTTCCTTTTCCTCATGTGACCCAGATTTCTGTTAATGATAATAATATGTGTATTTATTAAAGTGTCCTTCCTGTCTGTCTCTTTGACAGAATGCATCACTGTTTCTTCTATTTTTAATGACATGTTTATTTTCAAGACAATAATGTCTTTCAGATGCACATGAGATAAACATTTAAGCTGATCAGTATTACGCTTTCCTGAATATCACCAGAACTCTTCATAGGAGAAAGCAACCACAAAATGCTCCTCATCTGTCATTTAACAAGGAGATGCCTTGTGGAGCAATTAAAAACTGTCTTGTCAGTTTAAGTTCCAGTCCTGAGATCTGCAACCTGCTATGCAAATGGGAATGCACAGTCTTTAGAGAGCCTTTTGGGTGCAGTCTTTTAATAAATGAAGGGAAAATAACAGGACCACAATGCTGAAGAGAAACAGATCATTTTCAAAGTTGATGGGGTTTTCTTCCTCTACATATATTTACATATAGACCCAGAATACAGATTTTTCCTATTTTTCTCATGTTTATCCAGATCTATGGAATGCTTTTATTGCACATGTCTTTACTCTGATTTGAATTGTGATTATGACAGCAAAGGCCCTGATTCCAGCTCTTGCTGGATATACTCCACCCCTGCTGATGGCACATTTCACTGTCAGGCAGCATGTCATGATGCAAATCAGCAAGAAACAGCAACATTTCTCAGTGTCCTGCAGATTGTACTGGAGAGAGCTTGGAATCAGTGATTAAGTAAGACAACTCCCACAATCTCCTGTTTATTCTGGGGTCTGAGCTCACTGCTTGCATCTGGGGCTGTCACAAACTCTGTCTCAGCATCTGTATCATCTTAATTTCCTCTCAGTAACAATGGCTTCCTTGCCATCAGTGGGACTGGAGTGTCTGCAAACACCCAGCACAGAGATTCCTCTGAGTCATAACGCAGATTAATCAAAAGACTCTGAAAAGTTTCAAAGAAGCTCCTACTCACTTTTTCACAGGAGCTGCTGGGTCACAGCCCTGTGGAAAAGCAGCTCATTTCATTAGTGATGTGAGGGGCTTAGTGCTCTTTTACAAAACTTAACATTAATCAGCTGATTCTAAAAGTGTGCATTAACAGACAGGCCAATTAAAGTCTAACAAAGCCACTCCAGCAAGATCTCATCTGAATGAATAATTATCTGACTGCCACAAACCATTCATAATCAACTGTAGGACTGTTGCAGGCTCAGTTCCTCCATGCTTCAAGGTATGATGTGAGGCACACACCTTGTGTTCTATATAAATGAAATTTATTATTAATTTTTATTTGCTCTCTCTCCTTCTTGCTCTAAATGTGCAGATTTAGATATTTAGATTTTTAGATTAAGATTTAGATATTTAGATTTAGGTATTTAGATTTTTTTTCCTCACCAATATTTTTTTTTCCTTAGAACCTTATTTACTAGTCTTCTGTTTTTAGTAATGACTACCTTTACAAAGCTCACAAAGGGAGGGATAATGAAAAGGGCAGGATTTTGCAATGTGCTTATGCACATATGTCAAATACAGAGAAGTAAAAGAGTGAATAAAATCCTTCAGCTTCTTTTGAAGAAAATTAATCCTAAATTAAGCAGCTTAATAAACTGATTCCAGTCTATTTCATTCTCCAAGCTGAATTCTAGCCCACCATATTGCATTGTCAAAAACTAATCTATACAATCAAATAATAAAATCCACTGTTTTTTATTGTTTTTAGAAATTCTATCAATCATTTCTCAAGGTGAAAGTCAAAAGTTTATTGACACAGCAAAATATTTAGAAGGACTCCTGGAAGCTGTAGTTGTAAAACAGAGGAGCTAAATCAATACAGGGAATATATTGAGACCCACACTGCTCACTTTCAATGATTTATTATCTTGGTTAGGAGATTAGACATTTTCCTAGACATTTTCCATGGTTTCTTACTTGCCTAAAATATGGAAAATAGTGAAGCATTTAAAGATACCTAATAGCTAAGTTCAGAGTACTGCTATTTACCAAATTGCATTTAATTAGAACTATTGCATTTGGGATCTCAGGCAACAGGTATACAAAGTTTTCTGGTTTTAAACTTTACATTTTATTTATTCTTCAGTGACTAAACCCAAATCTCTTACCTGTGGTCCAAGAATAAAAACTTCCATTCTAAACTATGCCGTGATGTAAATTCTTCATATGGCTCTTCAGTGTTGCAGAGCTCCTGCAAAGAAATGGGCACATTCAGACATTTAATTCTAAGAAATGACAAAAGGAGTCCACTATCAAAATCTAGGATGCATCTTGTTGATATAATAAACCATAGCAAAATACAGTGCTTTTAAAAGACTTATTTTGCTTTAAGGAACGTGTAAGATTTGTTTTATAGATGCATGAACTGATGAAAAATGGCTGAATAGTTTACCTTGAGCTGAATTTCAGAGCTAGGATAAACAGTCAAAGACTCTCATCTTGCACTCTCTAAGCAAAATTCTCAAGGTTTTTTCAAATACTGGTATTTGAATATGGATGACAGATCCAGGTCTAGCCTCTAACTGGGCTGGCTAATGCCCTCTTGAGCAAGCAGCACCTGGTTGTTATCCCTGTCATCAGTGCACAGTGCCGTGGAACTTTTACAGACCTGCAGGAAGAGGCCATGACACACGTTTTCAATGTTTTGAGATGCAGATGGTGTCCTTACACAAAGGAGTGATGGATGCACATATCTGAAGGCAGCAAATTCCCAAGTGGTGCAGCTGACCACTTTGTCTTGGAGCTTCCCAGGCTGCCCCCTCCAAGACGCCCCATCACAAAACCATTTCTTCTCAAAAGCAGCTCCCGCTTTATACCTTTACCTTTCCAAAATACATACTTATGTCATCTCCCATTCCCAGCCACAGCCATGTGCTCTCTCCTCTACTAACCCTGTGCACATGCAACCTGTGCTGCTGATGCTGCTTCCAGCAGTGCCACAGCATCCACTGCAGCTTCCGCGCCCCAGGGCAGAGGCAGCTGCACAGAGCTCACCTTTAAGAACTGAGGCGTGACAAGACGAACAGTCGCTACCAGGCAAATCTGCTCCTCTGTGGCTGACCTGAAAGCTCGTGCAATAGCTGACTCAAAGCCGTTACAGGAAGGTGTAGGCACTAGAAACAACCAGACAATTTATTTAAGAAGAAAAAGAAGGAGAGCTTTCTTCTCATGTTGAGACAGGTATAGCAACTGATGAAATCCAAGCAACAAACTCCTCCTACACACAGGGTGATGCCACACTGATCCACACCGATTTTATGAAAAAAAAAATATTTTTATTTTATTTAAAGCACAACACTTTAGGTTCCAATTTTCACAGCTGTAATCATGTACCCTGGCTTTGTAAGACAGCTCTGAGCAGCTCACAGTGTGCAGCTGCAGTCTCCTTGTCAGCCTTTCTCTAGGCAAACATTTGCAAGATTCAGGATTTTACAGGCACCTCAAAGTACTTAATCTCTGCAAAGTGTTGTTTCACTGCCACAAGTGAAACAGAATACCATATTTTACTGGCTATTTGAAGAAGTGGGCTGCTTTACAATTGGCAGTTGGTCAAAGAGAGGCATTTTGAGTCTGGTATCAGCTTTAGGCACAACATGCAGGAGAGTGCACTCTTCTAAACAACAGACTCCCCACCACTTTTGTATGAAAAATATATCCAATGTATGCACAGCTCATTCCATCCCTGACAATTATGGGGCATTTTCAGCAGAAACAGAGCCTTTAAGATGCTACAGATCAAGACAATTTAAAGAAGACAGGCGGAGAGGCAAAGATAGGCTAGAACAGTAACTTACCATCAGTAAAATATTTAAAATCCACTACAAATTTCACATATTCGTACATCAGGGGTTCATTTGGATCTAAGCTGCCTCTTGCTAAATGGCAACAAAACTCTATTTGTTTTTCTGCTGAAATGCAAGAGAGGGAGACACAGACAGTGTTATTAGAAGTTTGCACTTTAGCTAGCTCACACAATTTATCTACCAACCCTGTTGCTGTAGTATCTGAGCACACCCTGCTGGGAAGCTTCTGATACCCAGAAGTAAATATGTAACTACTAGGGGCAATTATCAGCTGTTTCTGCTTAAGGAAATGTATTCCCACCCTTTTTTCTTGTCTTTGCAGTCACCCCAGTAAACTGAGTGTGAAGCCCGAGCTGTACTGGTCAGCAGGATTTTTCCCTGACTTTGTGAATGTAGGATTTCATGCAAAGCTGTTACATGGTACTGCAGTACTCTGCTCTGGCACTGCTCAGTAGAACCTAGACCCATAGAGCACTGAACCCTAAGCCTTTTCATTTACAGTGAAGGGCACTGTGCCAAACTCTAATCCAGTTTTCTGCCCCAAATCTGAACTCTACAGATTAGACCACACAGCCTTAAGCCAGAGGGAAACGACTCCCCCAGCAGAGCATCATCAGGCTGCTTAGAGCATCATCAGGCTGCTCAGCTCCCACTGATGCTTATGGGGCAGCAGGGAGGGGAGCCCAATGCTCGGTGGCCTTGCCAAACCCACTGGGAAGTGGGTTGGGGCTCAGCACAGGCTTAATGAAACACAGGTGCTGGGAAGATGCTGCTGCCTGCTCTGGTCCTGGGGACATTTTCTGTGCGAAAGGGATATGGGGCAGCAACCAGCAGTACAGATCCAGACGGACTGTTCAGATAGAAAGGCTGTTGCTTAAGTTACATTAGGGCTTCTTTTGTATCCTGAGACATGCTACCTTCTTAAGGAATAACAGCACTGCCAAAACTGTTTGGGATTTCTCCAAATTTTTTTCCCTTGAGCCTTCACTCCTTTCTCAGGCTTAGTCTGCATCCCACCTGGAGAAAAGCACCTACCATCCAAGGGGCAAAGCAGATGGTAAAACAAAGACTGTCCTAATCAAAGAGCAAAGTACTGGGAGCACATAGGAACATTAGACATGATGCACTAAGACCCACAAATGAATCAAAACAGAAGTGGCAGGCAAGAGCATTAAACAGCTGGAGAGCTCTGTACAGACTTCCCCAAGAGCTGTTCGCTTTTGGCAAACTTCTCTAACTGACAGACAAGAGCAGAGCTTACCATTTAGAAAATCAGCTGCAACAGGATCTGTCATGAGCACATGTGGAGAAAGGAGCTTGTACACCTCACTCTGCTCCCCCTCAGGCAGAAAGTTTAATATATTTTGGTCCACCAAATCTGACTGATACAAAAGAATGCTTTGTCATGTTCAGCAGTACATGTTCAGCCTGACACAACCACATGCCTTTTCATCCCTCAGCATCCCTCAGCTGCCGGTCTGGCACGAATGCCTAAGACAAGGAAGCCCAGCCAATCTGCAGACAGATCTAGGGCAGAATATTACCTTTAGACTATTTTACTCCAGGACTACTATCTATTTGCAAAAGATTTAATGATTCCCAGAGGTTGCCCTTCAGTTCAGACAGTTATAGGCTGGAAAGGAAATCCTGGTACCACAGGAATATAGCATGATGAGAAGTGAAGTATTTTTCTTTGAAAGCATGACACAGAAGAGGGAGAGAGCTCCTCCTTACATCCTCCATTTGTCTTCAGGTTAAACATCTGGCAAAATCAGCTTGATCTGTAAGTGATTCAGTGCTCATCAACCCACATATCCTGACTAAAGCAGTTCTACCAAAATGTCAGCACAGATTTGTTCTTTGCACACGTAACATTCAGGTAACTGTGTGCTCAAACTTGCCCTTATATAGGGCACCTTGGTGCTTCGTGCTTGGCACAAAATAAAGAGTAAAATGTTTTTGAGGGGCCAAGCTGAAATTTCTGCACCTGACAACTAACTGGTTTTTAGAAGTTCTCCCAGAAAACCCTGAGGCCACACATTTGTTACTAAAGACTATGAGTTCAAAGTAGAAAAATCCAGTGTCATTTGAAGAGCATAGATTCAGTTCTTAGATAATATTTACATTATCTAAGAACTGCTTCAGCATGGATTCACAACCATAGGATTCTCTATTAACCTGCTGGGTCAAACACCTCCCAGATCTTTAGATGTATAGTCAGGTGATGAGCTATAAATACAGTGATTTTACATAGTTGAGGTTTTTTAAAGCTAACTCATAGACCTTGGGAGAGAGTCAGTTATTCACAGGAACTTGAGAAACTCCACAAGAGTTTGTTGGCTGACCTCCCACCTGCAGTCAGTTGCCTCTTTGGTTGGATCCTGCACTGACTGATTTACATTAAGGAGGGGAATGAGCCTTCAATGTATTGCATGGTCAGAACTTACCGGCAAGTGTCCTAGCAGAGATGAAACACTATCAGATACATAAATAATAATCCCATCAGTGGTAAGAGCAATGAGAAAGCCATCTAGTGCCTAATGATAATAGGCAGAAAAAAAAAAGAAGAAAAAGAAAACAAAATTATGCAAGGGAAAAACTTAAAATATTTTAGACTAATTGATTCTTTAGTGACACTTCTAACAGCTTAAACCTAGCAGAAATGAATCAAAGAAATGACAGTTCAATGTGGAAAAGTAAAAATTACACATGCTGTCTAATTCAACATTCTTTTTATATTCTTATTTTCTCATTCTCATTATTATTAAATTTACTTGTATTTTTCACCCAGTGAGTATTTATTTAACATGAAGTAAGACAGCGATGCTTAGAATTTCAACACCCACACAATCTTACTGACTTCAGTCACTTTATTATGTGTTCTGAATTACACAATAGTTAACAAACTTGGTGGATAAGGAGATGTTACAGCAAATCCAGCATAGATGAATGGATAAGCAGGGACAGAAAAATTATACAATTATGTATTTTTAGTAGTTTATGGACAATATGAAGAAGTTCTAAAGCCTTATTTATTTTGCTTAAAACACTGCTTTGTAAGGCGAGTGACAAAACAATTTTAAGGTTTGATTTGCTTCCCCTTTCTCATTTGCAGTGGTTTCCGTTCCAGAGTTAAAGCTCTCTGTCCCTTTTAAGTCACTGCCTGTGCTTTTCTCCTTGGATGTTGTGTTCTCCCTGTCCTTCACAATATCTCCTTGTACTGTTTACCCAGCATCCATCCTTATTCTTCTCTAACATCAATATCTGGGAGGTTTAATAGGTGGTCAGCACTGTGTACAAAGCCAGCTCTTCTAAAGACACTGTTAGGCTGTTCTGCAGTTTAGCAGGGAGCCAAAAATGCTATGTTCACCACCTCCCCCACCTCACTTCCAGACTTCTTTTGCTCAGATTGAGTCCTCTCTGGGAAAAACCCACTGATTTTAAGCAAACTGTTTAATGGCCTACCAGAATCCAGCAAGCCAGCAGTTATTACAGGGCTTGCTGTCCCCTATCACTTCCAGTCTAAGGGGGGAATTTGTTTTGATTCAGCTGGAAAAAGCTAGCTTGTTTGGCAAGAGAGATTCCAAGAAAGAATGAACAGACTTTTCCAGAGAGGTGAGTCATGACATCCTGATGAAAAGGAATAACTAAGACACAGCAGCACCTCCCAGCTCAGCCCAGCATACACCCTTATTTTGGTGGGGCAAAGAGCAGCAGCTGCCCACACAGGGTAGGAGATGTCCCTGCCAGAGAAGCATGCAGCACAAACCCAGAGCCACATTCTTAAAAGGGGAGAAATGTAGGCTTGGGGGATGTTTCTAGATTGGTAAAGCATTTTAGAGGTGGGAGTATAGGAGCTGTTTTCCTGACTGCACTTAAAGGCAATTCAAGCAGAAAAGGCAGCACTCCCATCAAGAGGACAGCAGTGCACAGCCGCTGCAAAGACAGCACAAGCAGTGCTGCCTGGCTAATGTGATATGGGAGGAAGAGAGCTGCTCTGCTTTTTTAAGGTCCTTTCAAATTTTTTTCTAAAAAAAGCCAGCTCTAGTGGCTATTCTGAGAAAAGGAAATGTTTTTTTTCTTCTCTCACCAGGCCAAATCAGCCTTCATTCCCAAACGAAAAGCCATTTACCTTTAAGGGGAAGCAATCTTACTTTTAATTCTGTGTCAGCAAAGCATTTAGTACAACACTGTTCTCTGTCAGGTTTGCACTGTATATGCCAGCAGAGTAGAAATCATTAATATCAGGACCTACAGGTGAAAAAGAACTGTATATCCCTGAACTACTCTACTGAACTGATTATTTCTCACTAATCTATTTAATTTCTTCTTACCTCTAACATCAACTGAGTGAACTCCTCGTTGCTAAGAAATGAAGGCTTCCAGTCTTGTCTAATCTGACAGGCTTCTGTCTGTGCTGTGATTTCTTAAAGAGAAAATGTCAAAAAAGCAACATGACTCATGCTACTTGGATTTTTTTCATTTTCAAGTAACACTAGATATCTTTAAAGAGGCTGTTAGAGGAATCATCCTCATCTTCACATAAAGCCTTCTTACATGTAACAGACATTTTCCATGCCATCATGATACAAATACATTAGAAATCAAGAAAGGGAAATTGAGACATTTTAGGTCTCCTGAAGATAACCTTAAAAAATTAAGATCAAAGGGCTAATTTTACAGTAGTAGAGCATCCCTGTGAGCAAAGGGTGTCTGCAATTCTGTAGCTGTTTCTTTCAATTCTGGAGCTCTTTCACAAGCTGCTCTTGTGAGTTCCCAGGTAGCAGGACAGGTTTATAATCTCCTAATCCAAGAGACCTAGGAAGATGGCATAGAATCCCCTCTCCCCTGACTTTTGTAATGGGTGCTGTTCCTCAGCTTTTCCCTCCTCATGTTCTGATTGAGAGTGCACAAAGCAGGCCAGGGTATGTGGAGGCCAGTGAGGGTAATGAGGTATCCACAGTAAAAAGCATACAGCACTGCAACTTTTCAAATCTATGTTTAACTGGTCAGCAGTGTATTCAGCTCTAGCCCATCTCCTGAGGCCAACGACTGTGCCTTATTCTGCCCCTCACTTAAGCTCATATGGGTGGCTAAGATGCTTGGGAAAAACAGTTTGCATTTTCTGAGTGGAAACCGGCTGCTGGGCAGATGCAGAGCCAGGATCCTCCAGTACCTTTCTGTTTCTGTAGGAAGTCGATGGTCCTCTGCAGTATTGTGGACTTGTCCATCTTGAGAGGGTGGCCGTGGCCCTGCAGCATTGTGCAAAGCTCTTTAATGAGGACATTGAACTGGTCTCTCCTCTTCTTCTCAGATTTGTTGCGTGATGCCCTGGGCAACAAAAACATAAATACCTCTATGCAGAATGAAGGACCTAAAGCAAAACCAGAGTGAGGTGATCTACCCTGCCCCAGTAAAACACTTTAAATATAAGAATCTAAACTCTGCTGGGAATGTTTATTTGTTTAAAACTGGGCTTGCACACAAGGATTTTGCTGGTACTTGGAGCCCTGTAGCAAGACTGAACTCACTGGCAGCAATGAACACCTGGAGATAAAACATATTTGGGTTCATTTGGGAAAAACCATAGCCTTACATAAATTTTAGCAGCAGTTCCCACTGTTTCAAAAGCAGTGATAGTGAAGGTGCTATGGGAGAAATTCCTCCAGTAAAAGAAAAGTATGTTCATGCATATTCATGCTTTGCTTACTTAATTATTATGAACTTTTGTTTTACAGTTAGTACACACACACATAAACGTCAAAATGTGAAGAATTTCTCTGATTTTTACTTGCAAAAGGAGCTCAACAAGAGACAGCACTGTGCAGAGGCAATTGAACTGCAGAATAAAATCTTGTATGTCATCTTGAAAATCTACTGCTGTGATATATGAAACTGGGAATGTTAAGAGTCTGTCTGTAGAACTACAACTAGTTTTCAGCCCACAAATTAAGAATATTTAATAGGCTTTCCCCCTCCATTAAAAACAATAAAGGAGAAAGCAAATCCATTCAGTTTCTTCCAAAGTGTACTTTCCAGTGCTCATATCTGAAATAACACTTTTCATACAAACTCTTCCAGTAGTAATTAATTTGCTTTACAAGTGTATTCATGATGATACATACTTCCTGTGATCTAGACTGAGGGTGGTATGCAGAAAGCATTTCAAATCATATTCACGTTGGCATTTGGATGTTTTCTGATCCAGCATTAATGTTCACAGCCATCTCTGTTTTGGCACTTGAGTACAATGACTAAACAGAACTGAGCCAAGTGCTTCTCTGACAGGAGACTAACTCAGACCTGTGTTAAAGCAGGACTGCTATGGGAACTCTACCCCAGGTGGACAGTACGGCTCGATGCCAATAAGATCACAGGTCAGGAATCCTACTTCAAGATAATAAATAGCCATGGGATAGCACGAGATCCTGAGGGCACAGCAATGTAATTTAAGGACCACTCAGCCAAATAACCCATTGTAGGGGTAACCAAACTCTGTGACAAGCCTGAATGGTGACTTAAATTATGCTGCTTGTGGTCAGCTATATACAACCTATAAACTGGAATTTTGCCTCTAACATCAGTGAGATCAAGTTCATCATCAAGCACTGGACAACACAGCATTTACAATTCTCCTCCAGGAGTGCATCCTGTCATACCTCTTTGCTCTGTCCTTCTCATCTTCATCCATCAGTTCGTTTACACAACACAGGGCTCTGCAAGAAAAAGACAGAAGTACTTACTGAGACATATTCCCTAATCTTGCTAGGAATGTCAAAACATGGAGTGTAGTGGTTTATACTTAAAGACTTCCTGGATGTTTCAATCGTCCCTTTCCCAAATTCTACTCTTTCTTTCCTTGCAAGGTATGTCTTTCCTTGCTTGTTCATGAGAAGTGAGACCACAGCTACATGCCCAAACATCCAGCTACGATAACAGGGCTTTAAAGGGAAAGAGCTTAAAGCTAGCAGTCCCTCACCCTGCCTTTGTCCTGCCCTCTGAACCAGGATAGGGAATCCTGTTGAAGCACCCATCTCTGAACAGGAATCACCATCTTCCTGGCAAATGCAAGAGCAAAAAAGAGAGAAATCTGACCTGGTGACTGCACCAGGCAGCACCACAGCTGGTCCTGTTCTGGGAAAACAGATAGGTTACTGGTTGATTTCAATCACTGCCCACCCTGCTTGAAACATATCTGAGATTTCTTTTCCAATGGAAAGACATAAGAGAAAGAAAGAAACTGATCTAATCCCCCAAAGGATTATTATTAGGCAACAGCAGCATATTATCAGGATATTTAAGAGATGATATGATAGACAAGTTCATCCAGAACATCCTCCAGCCAATGACTGCTGCTTGCACTGGTGGACTTCTCCCACATCATCTGAACTGTGTCCTGGGATTCATACCCAAGGCTTCAATTTAAAATATCCTCACCTGGCACTAACCAGGGAAAAACAGTTGGCAACAACTCCCAGTAAGGACACAGTACTCTCAAGCCCTATTAAATGATGGAAAATTCAACACAAGGGTAACTTCTTTGCTGGTGCCTTGCTTTCTGTGACTCAGATAGGCTGAGTCTGAGGGGCAGAAAGCCAGGGAGGTGCAGGTGAGGCAGCTGCTGTCACCACACCATGTTGCCCGGGACAGCTCTGCTGGATTGCACCCCCTCAGACACTTCCAAAGAGGAAATCACACTCACCCCCATAATTAGAACCAATCTGCCCCCATCTCTGGTGAGCACTTTCCCTGCAAAACACCCCATGCTGTCCAGAACTCAAGGGACATTTTTCCATTGGTACATCCAAAAGATTTTCTCTGTTAGAGACTACTCCAAGCTCAAACAACTTGGTCGCTACAAAAATAACACAAAACAGAACCACCTGCAACTGTCAGGAAGTCAAAGATGCTCCTCATAGCAATAGCTACAAAATTTTATCCTTCTGTCCCTGCTCCAGGACAAGGATCTCCCTCGCTGCAGATGACCTGGGCAAAAGAAACTGTATGAATTCTTTTGTTATGAATGCACTCCATAGAGGGAGTGGTTCTCACTGCCTGAGTCACCAAAAGCTACAAGCTAAATTAGAAATTACCTGTTCTATTCCTCAGATTCATCAGTCCAGACTGACAGAGTGGGATTAGCACTTCTTATCACCATGTAAATTAGATGGAGAAAAATTAATCCTGGAAGGAAAAGCAAGTCCAGTTAAAACACAGTTGCAGGCAGGACTTAGCCTAGACAGCTGCAGTCACTTCAAGCTGAGAAAAGGCTACCACCACAAATTAGAAGCATTCTCAAGTATGACTGATGAAAGCTCAGCAAAGCCTCCAGTAATGGGAGCTGGACTAAGTTCTTGGCCTCCTGGCTCTGTGGGTACCACCTACTGCCATAGAAGCAGCCTGGGAAGGCCAATGTGACCTCTCCTGTCCAAAAAGCTGTGCGACCCAGCAGGGTGGCAGAATGGCCCTACTGGCTTGGAGCCACTGAGGATCAACTGGAGTTCTTCCAAGGTATGACATTTTACCTGATGTGCTGTGAAAATCAGAAGTATGACCTGTACCTCATCTATCAAATTTTGCAGCCAAAACCTCCTTCAAGAGAAACATGATCAGCAAAAGTCAGCACAAGCCACAATCACCCACCTGTGAATGGACTCAAGGCCTCCCCTTAATACTTCCTACTCATGGGACACACAAAATCTAGGGAAAATATCATGTTAACTCCTGGCATCCTCAGTGCAGCTGCAACTGGAAACAGCAACGGCGTAGCAAACTTAAACTCAGTGGATATGCTATGTCTCTGTTCTCACAGTGGTGGAACCCTGCCCTAGTGACATGCTTTTATTCCAGTTCAAAAGGAGCATGTGATCTTATTTGTTACCCTGTTCAGCTGAGGCTCTTATCACTGCTGCTCATCCCTCAGTACTGTTCTATCAAAATCACAGAGTTGTTTCTTCTCTAGAGGAATGACTTCTACAGATTTAGTGACTAGGGATTTGGTGACTTTGGTTCAGAGATAAACAGGTATAAAAAAAGTCTTTTTAAAGCAATGGGTTAAATTATAAAAAATGCTTGTGGATACACAGAAAGATGTATCAAAATTTTTCAGGGAATGTTCTTTGTATGCAGATTTGACCATGCAAAAATTCATCTAAAGGAAAGGATTTTTCCCAAGCTTAGAGTGCAAAGCATTATTTTATAGAAAACTGTATTTTATGGAAACCCTGCCCACAGGTTGTCAAACAACTGAAAGCTCCCAAGAAGCCTGGAGGGTTTTCTGCCTCATTAGAATGGTTAGCCTCCCACCCAGCTGGAATAGCAGGAAGCTTACAGAAGCTGTTTGGTCACCAGGAGAGTCAACAATCCAGATAATGCTAACTGAGCCTAAACTGGAAAATGAAGCCTGGATTCTCCAGTCTCCAGGAGGAGCTATCACTCTGCTGCAGTAGAGCAGATGTGAGCTGCCAGGGGCAGAGGAATGAGGCTTTCTAATGAATGTGAGCAAGGCCCTCAGCCAACACCAGACTTGGAGGAGCTCACAGAATAAATGGCTATAAAAGAATTCACAGGCCCAACCACACTGAGCAGCTTTTTGCATGATGCAGCAGGACAGTAAGCTAGAAAGTCTTAGTAGAAGACACCGAAGGACAAAATAATCTTAACTGGATTAAGCACATCAGGACTGCATTTAGCTAAGTGCTTTTTGTCTTGTTATAAGACAGATCTAAATATAGTAACCAGAATACTTAAGAATAGTTTCATAAGGGTTGTATACACTCCTCAGCCAGTTAAGGCACTTAGCACTACTGACAGCAGTATGTCTGCAGGTTAAGAGTATTTTAAATAGATCTAGATAGAATCTCTTTGACCTTAACTGCATTAACCAGAGGGATCAAAATTTATTTATTGCCTCCTGAAAATCTCCTTCTGTAACACCTTGAAAGAGGGATTCCTGAATTCTGGGGGCATGTAAAGGGGAAACTTGTCAGTGCTGCTGGCATTGTTTCTCATCCCACCTACAACAGGTGAGGATCAGCTTTCTCACAAAGCAATGCACATCCATCATTGCTTAATGTCCTCTGTAAAAGGAAATTATTTTTTTCTTCCTTTGTACAGGAAGTCTCAAAAACCATTCATAGTGTTTTAAGGGTACATTATATTTCAAACTTTTCAAATATCAGAGTATTTGAAGTTGCTTCCAGGGTTACGGAAAGGGCAATGTAGCTAAATGACAAATGGACTTTGCAGAAAACAACTAATAGTTAAAGCATTATTTCATGCTATCTGCTATATTCTGGTACATTTTTTACTAAAGAGAGAACGGCAGAAGGATCTTTCTGTTTTGAAGAACCATCTGTCTTCAGAAGCTATCTAAAACTGCAAACCTGTGAGTAAAGAAATTGTTTATTTATTGACTTGCTTCAAATCATCCAAATATTAACATTACCTTAGGATAATTCTTAATGGAACAGTCAGACTTGTGTCCCGAAACCAACAGATCCTATGAATGTTTCATTATAGATTAAATTTTAATTATTTGGTTATGTCACTCATGGCAAGGAAAAGATATTTCTATGAGAGATTCTGCCCATTTCTTTGTGATCAGCAATGAATAAAGCCTTCATCTGTCACCTAAAAGTGTCCCTGAACCCAGATGATTTGATTGCTTTTCCCAGCTATAACAACTGGTCTAATGGAAAACATTCTCTATGCATAAAAACTTTGTTCTTCTTGTATTTAAGTTTTCAAAGAATTTCGCATTAAAGTAACATATGGCAGTTAGGGAGTCTTCACATCTATACTGTAGGTATACATAAATCTATACCACAAGTATATATAAAATACCTAACATTTTAATTATGGAAATGTGCTGTGCTAATAATTTCTACAGACTTTGCATACAATGAAGTCATCAGAGAGCCCTCAATTACAAGATGCAGCACTTTGTGGCATGATGCTGTCACAAATAAGAGAGATAATGCATTCTCCAGCAATATGATTTATATGTCAGTATGCCTATGTTTCATTATTCTTGAGGCAACAAGAGGGCATGACTGTGGTTGGCAGCAAAACAGCTAATTTCATTTTTAGAGGCAGAATGTAACCTCTTCAGTTAAGTGCTGCTGGTTCAACTACAAGATGCTTATGTAAATGGCATTTGAAAAACCAAACAGTGTAGCTGAATCCCTATGGTTGTTTAGCACAGGAAGGATCAGCATCTCTGCTGATGCCCAGCAGCCCTGAAGTCCAAGCCCTGGTGCCAGTGCTGTGCCACTCACCCTGTGCTCCCAGCCATCCTCCTGTCACACAGAGACAGATGTTTTCCCCAGTGTCACAGCGAGTGGGCCAGAGCAGCAGCAGCTCGGCACAGCTGTGGCATTCCCATCTGCCAGAGCACCCCACAGGGCATCTCACTACTACTGTGTCACAGCCCAGCATGAAGGCATCACACAGAAACACAAAGACTAAACCAGGTGTAGCAAAGGAGTTGTATATCTGTGTTATTTGATCTGCTTGTTTTTTTCTACCTCTATCTTACCCGCTCCTTTCCTAGCCATGCCTTGCCTTCTGTTGTTCTTCATTCTTTTCTGCCCTTCCCTCACTTAACCCTTGGTACTTAACATCCACTGGATCAAATTTTGGAGAATTGGATCTCTCTTGAACATGGTTTTTCTCCGGCTTTTTTTTTCATACCACCTGCCTTCATCTTTCTATTGCTTTTTCTTCTCCATGTTCTTCACTTTCCTCTTCTCAAAAGAGAAAAAATGTACTTTGACTTTTGACTGTGGGAACTCAGCTTGCCCAGGTCTGAGGCAGACATGACTGCCAGGTTCTCTTTAAGGACAGAATGCCTAAGGAATCATGCTGGTGGGGAGCTGATGATTTTTGGCTCCCATGACACCTTGGTCCAGCTTCAGGAGCACTGGGTCCTGTCCTGCCTGACAGCTCCAATCCCAGTTTTAGATCCTCTTTAGGGGAACTGGGATCTCCCTCAGGTCAGTGGTAGAGCTGTGCAGCTCCAAGCTTTACAGAACACCACTCTACATCCACAGGCTGAGGGACGTGATCCAGGCACAGCACACCCATCCACAGCAGCAACACACTCTGGAATTCTTTGGGGGTACTGTGACTGTACCTGTACTTTCATACGCCATCTTTGTTTGCTAGAACGTGGATGATGGTGGTCAGTAGGGGAGGGAACCAAATGTTCTGTGTTTCCCCTTTGTTAACCTGACAGAAGTGGACTTCTTGTGCTACTATTGTAACTGTTGCATTTCAGCGCACTCACCTACAGCATAATCTCCCCCTGTTCATTGAGCTCTAAATTTAGCTTGTTACCTGTGACAAATTTATGACTACTTTCATTATAGCGATAACAGCTTCAGACAGAAGCTAAAAAGTGTCAGGATTATACAAAACAATTACACTCTTAAAAAGGCTGTAAGAGAACACTGTGATTCAACACAAAAGTGAAATGAAAGATACAGGCAGAAATAATGGTGATGTGTTGGGTTTTTTTTGTTTTTGTTTGAGGTTTTTTGGGGTTTTTTTTGTTTGTTTGGTTAGTTTTTTGTTTGTATGTTTTTTCTAACCAATATATGGTGCTTCTGAAAAAAGAAAGGCAGAAAAGGATTAAAAACTAACAGATACTTGAAAAGAAAATATGATTACTACAACATTTTGTTCCCTAGGATTTTTATCAGATGCTGGAGAAAATACCTGGCCAAGTTTGCTCTGTTCTAGCAAACTGCTGAACCTTGCATGGTAAAAATACAACACTGTATAATATTATTCAAAATGTCTCTGGGGTTTCTGTAACAAGAAGAGCATGCATCTAACTAATTCTACTGATTTGTCTAATGGCCCCTTAAAATTCCCAAAACATGGCAAAAAGCAGAATGCTGATTAACAATCCTAAGATACATAAAACTGTACTTTTGGCACAGGCAGGGTAGGAAAAGAATGCATATGCAAATAGTATTTCTTCTGCAGTCTTGGGTGAATACCCATTTTCATTTGTTGTCATTCGATTACTATAGTAAAGGTAAATAAATGTGTGTTGTAGTATGAAATGAAGATATCCCACCTATAAACAATTCTTTACCATACCTGACTCAAACGAAGAGCCAAAAAATCCTCAAATAATAACATGACTTGCCCTTATGTAGGATGAGAGCAAAGGT